TCTCGAATAAATCCTTGTATTCATGACCTTGAAGCAGCACAAAAGTTATTGCTTGGTCAACATCGAAAAGTTGTAGCTGTGTCTCTTTTTGCAATTGCAATCAGCTATATCGTTTAATTCCTTGCAATTTTCAGATTACTAGACTCATCACCGGTAAGATATCGTCTCCAGTTCAATCATGGATTTTACTGATTCAAGCGGGTCTTTTTGCAGTGATACTGAGGTGGGTTTCGGCTTATTCTCTGGACAATGAGTAAACGACCTGTCAATAGCATTCAACCAAACCTTTACCCTTTCATTGTAACTTAATTCGAGTTTTCTCTCTCTTCTTTTAGCGACCAGGCAGGTAGCAACTATAAGGTCTTGAAGGAGGCAAACTTAACACAGACCTGCTTTCTGTCTATTCTTTGGAATTATTCCTTTAATTTCCTAGTCAGTTATTTGGAGCAATCAGCTGCCCTCAACAATTAAGCTTCATGAGCTTCTGGCTAATTTGATTGTCAATATCCTTCTGTTTAGGAAGTGATACGGGAATGTCTCAATCATTGTAGCCTTGATGATGCTCTGTTCCTAGCTGAGTTGTATTACATAAGAGGCGAGTTGTTTTCAGAGCAGTTTCTTTTACTTTTCTTTTCTGCGATGTTTTCCATTGAAATCGTACTTCACCTACTTCCGGTGAATATTGGCGTTCTCGAATGGGACCTTAATAATAAAGCGGTCATGAACGGAAAAACTTCTGTTGCGATTGGTTTTCAGATCTGTTCGGTGAGATGATTTAGGCAGTATTTCTGTATTGTAAAAGACCAAAGCATCTCTTCATCTTGAGGGAGATAACCGTACGTCATTAGCGTCATCGGCCAAAAGTTGAAAATCACTTAGAGTTGTTGTTAAAAAAATGAGGAAGGAGCCATTAGGGCGTCGGATTTGCGCTTCCCTATATTACACCGTATGCTTGAAGGTAACAAGATCTTTCTCGCACAATTCGCATGCATAACAGCTATTCCTTTCAACAATTCCTCTGCTCGATTCAGAGAGAACGAATATGAAGTTTTCTGGGGATTTTAATATGATGTTTGGTGGGTAATGAAATCACTGGCACTGCATTGTGGGATTATCTGTAAAGATCTCGTATAGTAGGCCTTTCACTGAGCTGTTCATATGGGGAATCGGAATCTGATAGTGTGGAGTGTATTTTTTTTTGCTATTTCCAAGCAAGGCATATCTCTTTCAGTTAGGTCAAGCCATTCGCTCCTCCTTTATTGTGATTGTTTGTTACGTCTTAATCGAAGGAATGAGGTGTACAATCTTCTCCGATCGCAAGCCCTCACGAACGCCAGGCTACGCTATCTTTTCGCCAAATGTTGCTTCGATTTGAACAAGTAAGCGTGTTCTCTTTTACCCATGATGTCATGAGTGAATTGCCAATTATTCAACGCTCAGGAATGATGAGTGCTTCCGAACCCTAACAGAGAAGAACTCAGAAGGTTCTCTACACAACATATTTCTTGGGACGCCATCTGAATCGTTTGCCCACTCCCTTCTATCTACGATTCAGTGGTAAGCATTTCTCAGCTGCAATTACATACCAGGATCAGTGATAATTTAATAAAACGGGCTGATCAGTACTCGGTATTTGCTTTAATTCCGAATATTTTTCTTATTACCGCTTTTTTTTCGTGAGTCAGTAGAAAGTAGTAATGATGAAGGACTGATGTTGACGAGCAAGTAGGATGACCAGAAAGATGACCGAAATCACCATACGAGTTGAAGCTTGATAGAGTTTTTTTTNTTTTTTTTAAAGAATGCCTAGAGTGGTTGAATTCAGCGCCCACTTTAACTGCAATTCGTGTAGTTAACTAGTACTGAAAAATATTGACTGCTATCTTTTGGGTAGTGCAGAACGTCCTTTGTCATGTTTAGATTCTTGAAATCCAAATTATTCCGTGCTATGTTTAACTGTTAATGACTGAATGAATGACTGAATGACTGAATGAAAGGGATATTCTGAAAGTTCGTTTCCAGCTTATCAGGAAGGTATGCAGCGGCAGCCAAGGAAAACGAAAGTGCAGTGCGAGAAAACAATTTTTTGTGGTCATCTATCTGCAAAATTGTACAATTTGACGATCATTCAATGGACGATCTCTTCCGGGAGATGACGAACAAACTTCTTTCCACTTCCACGAACACGGCACGAGAAACACCTGCTCCTGAAAGCAATGCATTGTGAGTTATTTCCCTTCCATCTCGAAGTTTATTACTGGAAATATTTTGTTTTCAGCGATTGCTCCAAAGATGGAACTGATCAAGTGGACTTAGCCCAAAGAAGTTCTCCCGGGGGTTGTTCGTTAAGTCGTACCACCCCGGTTTCCACTGCCACACCCCCGATCCCTGTGCACGCACCACGGAAAAGTACACGTATTCTCGAGGTGGGGACGCATTGGTTCACAGCATTAATGTCTTTTTTTCTTCAGCGTTTCAACCACTGGCAGCTGCAGCCTATTTTTTTTNTTTTTTTTACTTTTGGTGTAGAAAACGTGGATTTTCGGTTTGATTCGTGTTAGTGCTACGACAGGCGAACTAAGACAATGCGGACTTTGTTTGATGTCTACAAACATTACTACGATTTGCATAATGCGTAGAGCTGTTGATGTTGAAATGCACTATTAGTCAAAAACTGGGAAAAACTCAAGGAAGTGGATGTCGATTGTTTGAATATTATAAGAACGGATACTACTGTTCCAAGGATATATAATGAACATGACGGTTTCGTGATCTATATGTTATGGCTCAGGCTTTACGGTAACAAGTGAAGGAAAATTGAATGTATGGCTCCTAGCAGTTGTTTTTTTTTTCTATTTTCTCTTCCATGAGCAGCCTCCACGCGAGCTCGTGTTTGTAGGACTTTACAGAGCGAATTTTTACTATATTCCTTACTTGCAATCGGATTTCCTTTGTTCTCCGTTGTCAACTGAAATGTGCTACAGGCTGGTGAAATTCGAAGAGCGAGATTATTCAATCAAAATCAAGACTCTGAAAATGCAGGAAGTCGCAATCGAGCTACTCCGCCAAGACTGAATAGGGTGCGCCAGGTGAGTTTTCATGCATTTTTTCACATTGCTTCGCATTGTCAAGTATCCTTTCATAAAATTTGTTGGATTACTTCACAGAACAACACTTGTTTAAATGAGGTGCTGCTCAGTTATAACATGATGAGCAGGCTTGCATCGTTTCTAACAAATTTTTTTCAGGGACATTTAGTAATCGTGCCGTTTAAGCAGTTGAATGCTGTTAAGCGAACTTAGCCCTCTCCTTTTTCACCTGAGCTTCAATTGGAACTCGTTTTCCATATTTATTCTTGCTTGAAGCTAATGCCATCGTACATTGCATTTTGGGCGAAGCAGCGCTTTTACTAAATACTTATGCATTTGTCACAGTTGGCAATGCTAACTGTTGTTTGGAGCTGCCTCCGTTCAATGGAACGGTTCCAGCACATTTGGAAGAATGATCGCTTGGAATCTGTCTACCAGTGTGTAGTGCGCTCTGCGCTCAACAATTGCCCTGACAGCGGCTGATATTTTTTTTTGGCAGTTTAGAAGTGCGTAAACAAGTCTGAAAATTATTTTCATTTCGCTATAATTTGCAGCAGCACAGTTTGAGAGCAATAACCAGAATCAATGAAATGGGTCCATCAGTCGAGATTTTACGGACAGAACAATCACCCTCATCAAGGTCTGTAGATCTACGTGGTCTCTACTACCGTACAACTTTCAACTTTTTTTCGTTTAGGAAGCAGCGGAGTGATTCAGTCACGAAACAGCCATTAGGATCTAACAGTGGCAATATACGTTGTGTAACTTCTGCCGTACCTGTAGCCACTGCTGCGTCTACGTGTCCATCTCCTACTTCGTCGAGCACAAATAAGAGCGATACTACTGAAAAGGAATATAGCCCCGTTTATAGTAAGCCATACTTTGTTTTTCCTTCGTTGGACTTTTCAATCACAAACTCTTGCATTGAGCATTTCCAAACCGTTGCCATTCTAAGAAAGTTGGACGTTTTTTCAAATCTGTCACCATTTCGCAAATCTCCGAGCAATTTGTTTATCTAAGAAAATGTATAAGTATTGAGTAGTGAACCAATGAATCTGGAAGAATTTCTGGTGATTTCTGGTGTTCTGCAGCACGTACCCCTTCCACCTTCCACATAGCCTCCCACGCCCTCTTCCTCCTCCTCGCCCTTACCCTCCAGGTAAATCGTAAGTCAAATCGTGTCATGATCGAGGAAAATCCGGATGTTGGTTACTATTGACTGATCGGCTTTCCAGCCCTGTCTCTCCAGCTGAGCCAGCCCTGAACAAGCTCCCATATTTTCTATTTGCGGATTTCCCAAATCAATCCGTTTTTTCAAAGCTATTTTAGATGTTGAAGTTGTTCATATTTGTTTTCCTTAGCTTTCCTTCCCTCTTTCCTTAAATGTGCTCTAGATCATGTTGTTTCAGAGGATATGTTCCTGTGCATGAAGTCGTTTGCTCTCGTTGAAGAAGCCATCGGCTCCTACCGTTGGGGCGTCGCCAAAAAGATTCTAGGTATCGTTTTTGTAAATCAATGCTGTGAGCTCCTCAATATTACGTACTTTCTAGATCTTGTCCCACCTTGGATGGCCGATTTGCCTGCAGCGTTGCACATGCGAGCCCGGATAGCTTTTGAATTAACTGAGTATAACTGTGCCAAAGACATCCTTCAGAAGTTACGGAAATTGTATCCTCATCGAACTGAGGTAAACCTTTTTTATTCTGTCTTCTTCCATGCCTAGGTTTGTTCTTCAGGGAATGGAGCTGCTGTCAACTGCGCTGTGGCACCTCCAAGACGCTCATGAGCTATCATCGCTCGCGCAACACTTAACGACTGAGGCTCGGTCAAGACCGCAGACATGGTGTGTCGCAGGAAATTGTTTTTCTCTGCAGCGACAGGTGATTTCGATTTTCAATATATTCAGCTATCCGATACGAAGTCGCATTTAAACAATTTCGTTTAGCATGCAAAAGCGGTCGATTGCATGGAGCGTGCGATACAGTTAGATCCATATTTTGCTTATGCTTACACCTTGTTAGGACATGAACTCATATTCCAGGAGGAGTACGATCGAGCTGCGAATGCATTCAGGTATCTACAGCGCGGATTATATTTATGTTATTTTGTGGCTCTGAAGTAATAGTTGGAACTGCTATTCATCAATTATAGGCGAGCGTTAGAAATTTCTCCTAAAGACTATCGAGCTTGGCATGGACTTGGTCTAGTTCATCTTCGCAAAGAGCAAATGGGTCTTGCTCAGGTACTTTTAAAAGATATCTCTGTTGTTCTGTAGCCAAGAAAGACTGAAGTTCCACCGCGAAACCAAGGAGTTTTCTTTTTCGTTCACTTCTTATTTCTGTTTGTTCGCGAAATCATAAGTGTGGGGAGTTGCATGTTTTTGTGGATTATTTCGCATTCTAACGAAGAGGCTGTACTCCAAATTACTCCAGCGTCCCAATTTCACTAACCCATATATAAGTAACTAGATATATAGTGCTGGGACGGCAAAGTCATCAGTTTCCTAGACGATCCTTTTGATGGCGATTGTCTCAGATTTGTGACACAACTTCAACGCCATAATGATCTTTGAGTTCTGATTTTTTATGAGAGAGAGAAGGAAATTATGCCTAATGCGTAATTTTTGGGTGAAATAAGCACGATGGGTCTATTTTTCGTGTGCTAGACGTATCTTCTTTTTCAATGAAAAAAAATTCACCGTTTCTCCAGGTTAATATCTCCAAAGCCGTTACAATTAATCCGACAAATCGAGCGATGCTATGTCAGTTGGCACAAATAGAACAAGCTCTTAATCGTCCAGAAAGAGCTATGCGGTTAATCGATCGAGTGCGTTTTTTTTTTCTAAGTCATATTTGTCTCAGATTTATGAAATTCTCAATGTTTGTTGAAAATTTTAGGCGTTGGCTTTGGATCCCGATGATGTAGCTTGTCGTTATAATAGGGCTCGACTACTTTTTGATACAAAACACAATGAGGAATGCGTTAAGGAGCTCAATGAGCTAAAAGAAGTTTCACCCGATGAAGCGTACATCTACCATTTATTAGGTATTCCACACCATTTTCATGGGGTATTTGTTACTCGAATAACATTGCTTTTCTTTAAGGCAAGGTTCATAGACGACTAGGTAATAATCACCTGGCGCTGTTGAACTACAGCTGGGCTACGGAAATGGATCCAAGAGGAGAGCAAATGTTGGGTCATGCGGGAGAAAGGTCGTACGATGATGACGATCCATCTCCTACTGCTAGCTAGGTAATTTTTGCCATATTATTGAACTTTTTTTGATTAAGTGATTTTTTGAAAACTGTGAGCCTTTAATGTGTCCTTCTCTGGAATGAGTTTATGAGATCTTTAATGCAACAATCCATTAGTTTTTGATTGCTAATCACCTTGAATCTTATAAGTTGAGAAACACAAAATCGATCAATCTGATTGGTAACTTTTGGCCAAATGACGCTTTCATAATGATCAATTTTGTATAGGATGGTTTGAAAACATCTCACTAAGAGGGCATCAGAAACTTATGCATTTCTGCTACAATTCATATTTGTACCGGAGCCCAAAAATTATATAATTGGATTCAGGTGACAGACACACACCCGACCAACTCGACTAAATTGGCTTGAGCGTTTACCACCTTTACGTATTCATTAGTTAATAAGTCTCGTCTGCGGGTGCTCTTTTTGTCACCTCTGATTCAAGGGTTTGAGTGAACGTAGTTTTCTCTAATGAGAAGAATGAGCGGGCACTACACTCATGTTTAGAACTGTAGTTTCTTCCAGGCTGCATCTCCCAATACACAACTTCCCCATTACCTAATTTCTTACCCATTTTTCATAAAGTATCATATATAAGTAGGAAGGTTTTGGGAGGAGAGGATTAGGAATTCATTTCCTACTCGTAATAATCTAAATGCTTCAAATTTCAGCTTCTCAACGTTTGATGGTTTTCTTCCGGCTGTTTCAAGCAGAACTGCGCAAAACAGTTAAGTGGCCGATAACGTGTCGAATATTTTGGATAGACACTTCATTATTAAGGGATGTGAAATCATGTTGATCTTGCTTCCAAAGATTAGTTTCATTGATATGGGTATGCACTGATCTATAAGTTGAGGCTTCTAGATTATGTGAGGTTAAGACGTCTCGTTCGTGTTAACTAATGTCCATCTAGCATATTTTGAATCTCGAGTTTACGCTAGTTTTGTTTTTGTTTGTGGCCCGGTGTTCAAGTGTTTCAATTTTGTCATCTTGTGTATATTGCTTTCAGCTCTTTTGCTTGTGCATATTTGATGTGTAGCATAAGGTGCATATGTATGCCAATCGCGCGCGGCACATTCGCGCGGCCCTTGGAATGACCCGCGAATACGCAACGCTCGTAGAACGGCAAATTTGTGTGTTCACCTCATTTTGCACATCCTACTATTTGCTCTTTTTGTGTTTGTTAAAAGATTTACTACTAATGGACATTTGTCTCGTTGTCCTTCTCGCATTGCTCATTTCTCTTTCGTGCTTCCAATATGAGTGTGTAATATTTTTTTTTTAGTATCCTATTTTGTTTCCTATTAGGGAATTCTTTGGGAGCTTTCAGGTTTCTAGACACTGTAGAGACGGGTTCTTTTCGGTACAATGCTTTGAACAGCGATTGTGAGGTAGCGATAAGCAAGTCTCCTTCTTAACTTGTTTGCTAGAATATTCTAATCAGGTATTCTCAGAGCTCGAAGTCAATTTTTGTTTAGGCATTTATTATTATTTCCCGAGATATGAGTGAACGCGTTATCCGGACAGATTTCTATTTATAATAACTAGACTTGATTGGTAAATTTTCCTTATTGTGCACATGTTTTGCAAGAATATGTGTGAAGACGATTAGCGGGGTGTCATAACCAGGATCATGGCCACCTCTCATGCTATATGTGCTCGTCTGAATACTACTATTATTATCATGATAGCTATGCTTGTGTTATGCATGTCTTTCTCGATTCACGCGTAAATCTTATCTTTTTTGGCTGGATAACTTAGAAATAAGATGGTGCACATCTTTT